ACTTGATGAATGTACTATAAACGCACCACTCTAAAGTTCTTTCCTCCTCCAGGCAATGACGCTCTTATACATTCCAACCACTCCTCCATCTTTTTCGGATTATCGATTATGAAGGTTCCAACAGACAAATCCATTTCTTGTAAGCTTAAATTAACTTAGCTTAGCTTAACGTACTGGATCGAAAGAAGGAAATCACAGTGAACAATGCTGTTCATTTACCCAATAGCGTAGAAATCGCTAGTATTACCATCAGGAAACCATCCACGAATGACTTCTGGAGGGCTCTTTCCATTTACGTTGAATGTTGTTATGTAAATGGAAACGTCGTTGAACTGACAGTATCTGAATAGAAAAACAGTACGAATAATTACAGCGTTGTTGTACTACGACTGCAGAAATGGTGTGGTATCCTCCAACAACAAAGCACCATTATCAGTATTGTAGCGCCTTTTGCAGACAGGGTACAGCATTGTGATGTGTGAACTGGTAGTGTCAGTACGGTACGACCCTTCTCCCTCTATAACAAAACGTCTCGGTACGGCTCCCCCATCCCATCACCTGTCACCTGTCTAAATTTCCCATATTTCCCAGTTTTTCACCCATGAATTTTCCATCGAGGGGGGGGGGGGGGTTATAGCCAATATATGGACAATGTGGGACGGGAAAAATTCCCAGATTTTCCCCAAGTTTCGACCACTTTTTCCAGAAGTTCCCGATCCTACTTTTCCCCCAAACATTTTGCTGTGGAGCGGAAGAAGAAGGGAAAGGGGGACGGAAAAGGGGGGAGGGGTACGTAGTACACACGAAACAGGAAAAATCCCGGAAAGCCAACAAAAATTTTTTCCGACGCGGCAAATTTCTCTCAAACCAACATACAAGTCCCCCTCCTCTCTCACGACCCCCTGCCTCCCCAAAGGCCATGCACGACCCACCCCACGTGTTTCACACAACGATGCTGTACCCTGTTTGCAGAAAGGCGCTGGAAAATGGTAGCAACAGTGAAAATCTTAGAAAAACAGGTCACTTGCCACTGAAACACAGCATTTCCTCCTCATACCTGTGTCAAAACTGTTTCGGAGTACTACTGGCAAGATATATTGACTCATCCCTCACACGTTCACCGGTTTTACCAGTTATTCAGCAGTGTTCCTGAGCCACAGCAACCAGTGCACCATTACGAGTTTTTCACCAGCCCTATTGCACGCTCATGGGACAGGTCATGTGAAAGTGCGGGGCGACAACTACGTACGCAAGAAAATTTAAATTTATTACTCCACTTTTCGATGAAGCTGCGGCACAGGTCTGTTGAAGGGAACATTTTGTAAATTGGCCACCAGATAAGAAGAGCACTGGATTTGAAGTGCTAGGTAAGCGATTGCCCAAACAGCAGTTGGAAGGACGTGGTTGAGAAGGACCCTGTCTGAATGAGGGGCATCGCTAAAAAAAGCCCTTTTTTTTTGCTGAATAATTTGCATGGCGAGTCTGACAAGAACAGCAGACCACGTCACGGCACAAGATAACGCTAGGGAGAGAAAGAGGAAAAGTTGGAACGTATGAGGAAGGTAGCGCACATGCCTATCCCGCAGGCTCCTTTCTTCCCTCTTTCCTAATCGACGATGCCAGTTTGAATGGGTTTCTGGGCCAATTGTTCGAATTATCTTCGGGAACAGGAAAAATCAACTGCATAACTAACCGTAGCGTGTAAACTGGTATTACAAGACGAAAACGATACTTTTACAGTGGTTACACGACCTGCTACAACAACTTCGATATGTTTGAACAGAAGGTTCCGGAATCGCCCTCATCTCAGCCGCAACGCCAGCCGCTTTAAAGGCAAGCATTCGCACTGTTGAGCCAGCTTCTTCATTAAGTAGTTGCTTACCTAAATTCACGGCGCATGTTGAATACTTATGACCTTTTTCGTGACAAAGATTGTTTTAAAATTGCGGCGATAAGCACAAGCACTTCATATTAGTCTAGCATTGATCGACTACCTATCATTAGGTTGGCTTTGCAGAAAGAATGAGTAAAATAGCTGAAGCAGCCGACAGTGTAAACAGATAATGACAGGGACTAACCTTACTCTTTAGAAGAGAACCGAAAAACGATGAGTGCTGAGAGGGAGCGCTGCCACCGCTAGCAGCTGCAACACTACATGACTACTTGAAAAAACGATTGTAGAGTGTCCGATCAACTACCAGCCAACAGGTCTGTTCTAGCTAACAATGTTGTGAAAACGTAAGTTACAACATTGTAGCAGAACAGGGACTGTGGCTGTAGTAGTAACGCGTTTTTATTCTACATGCGCCGTAGCATTGCATTTCAATACACCTTTCTGACTTTTATTTCGCGCTTTCAATAGTAATTGCCCCGTTTTGTAAGTCGTTGATTGTAGCTTACATTCTATATTCGTACATGTTGCAGTGACTTGGAAAAAGTTAGCACTTCTCAACAGCTGGCGTTTACGCGTTTCGAATCGGATCCCGAGGCTGCTATCCCTCGTTGGGGAAAACAATCTTCGTACGTGTTCCACTGAGGAATAAGAAGGAGTCGTACCAGCTATTTAAAGAATTTTCGAGCCGCAAGGGAATTCTTAGCTGCTGGCTTTTCGCGATTTTCCCCATTTCACGTGTACTACTATCCCCCGTCCCTCTCAGTTGGTTGTCACCGCAGAACTGCTATAACACTACTATTTCTGATGCGTTTAACTTGACACTGAACGATAGCCGCCGCCGCATGCTCGACACCAATTTCTCGACCAAAGCTGGAAGAATTCCCGGAAAATCGCTGTAGTTGAGAGGAGTAGGGTAGCAAGGATAGGAAAGGGGACTGAAGGGAAAACGTTGGAAAGGGTCTTACTAACACCTACTCCTCCCAAGCCCTCCTGAAGTTTATCCCAAAGCTGCACCCTGTGGTGTACGCTGGAAGATGATAATAATTAGAACTTCCTCTTATCTATTTCAAGCTATCTATTCCTCCTCCAGAACGTGCCGCTGTCAATCAATGAGAGACCTTTTTATCACTCCTATCCTTCATTATATTCAAAATTATTTTCCCATTGACAGCATTCATGAAAACAGTATCACGGCACTTATCAGTGTGACTTTTAGTTTCGATTCCAGAAGCATTAGAATCGTTGGCCCACTTCGACATGGGAAGGGTGGGCGGGGGAGGGAGGGCATTTTGCTTTTTTGCTCCCATCACAGTTTATATGGACTACTTGTCAGCTCTTGTGAAGTAACGAACACGACGAAGAGAAGTAGTGAAAGGAGAAAATGCTCCTCCCAAGCCGAACTACGCCGGATCGTTTCTTCTATCTCAATTCTGATCGAATTCGCTAATTTCTAATTGTTTTCCAAACCCAGCGGCTTGAACCACGTGTCTTTCCATCTGCGTAGTTGCTCAAAACAAGGACTGGGTTAAAGCTCAGTGTTATCGGCTTCGATCGTTCCACTACATTGCCGTCATTTGGAGAAGGGGGAGGGTTGGGTCGGGGGCTTAGCCCAATGCCGCATGAGCGGAGCGACACACTCTGCATTAGTTGTATAGTAAGAATAAAAGTGCCATTAAAACAAACCCGCTACAACTAACACGAAATGTTGTAGTTTCATTCTTGAAAAATCAAAAAATGTCACACCTACAACCTCGCTGCACAATATAGAACGTAAGCTCATGATGTCTACGTCTCTGCCCAGGTAGTAAACTGGGCACACACTCATATTTCTTTTCATCCAAGAGCGCAGAAACGCCAACATAGACTTGTTCGTTGCGGATGCTGAGACATGTCAGGGTCCTGGCTTTGGCGCGGCGCCAACCAGTTCTCCACCAATTGTTGAAGCGGGGCAAGGGTCAGCAACTGGTGGAGAACGGGAACCAAACCCAGAGCTCCTGACACGCCCCAGGCCTCCGTAGCGGACAACACTTGAGACCTGTGTGAGTCAAGCATCTTCAAAGAACATTTCACTTGATCTTCCGGGTGAAAAAATTTCCCCAATTGAGACTTTAAAATTAATCATTTGCCTCAACATATCCCAATTCGAATCAGTTTCCTCGAAAAGAGAATCTTACCTCTGTTGCCAACCTCGCATCACCTCATCCACCATTGGATCACGTCCAGGCACATAACCACCTCTTCTGCTGCCACCACTGCCCGTGTAGAAAGTCATGGTTATCACCCCGTTTTCAGCCCACCCAACTCTGGCCTACAAGTTAAACGTACCCTCTAAACTCTATGTACCACTGTTCTATCAAGATATCTCAGAACTGTACTGTTGCCGCCAATGTTCTTGCTGTGAACGAATACCACTAACAATTTATTACTTCACAAAACACAATAAGCTACGCTCCACGACACACTATTAGAAACCTTGATACTGGAATGAGACCAAATTCCACTAGTTGGGAACGTCTTGAGATTACAAAAATAACAACACGATTTCTGGGTAAGAAAATTCCAACAAAAACACATCGAGCTTCGAAAAGCAATAAGGTACGCTCCTGCTACTCTCAACACCTATGAGACACAACTCAGTGATCGTCGTAACAGTTGTCTGCATAAACTTCTGCAAGCATTTCTGTGTTCAGTATTGCCTTCCGGAATCAGGGAACAGTTCCACATAGCGCGGTCCTAAATCAACAACATCAGTTCAGTTCTGCACGAACCATGACAAAATACTGTGAAAACGATAAAACAGCGTTCACACGGACGTCAGCGTCCACCAGCGATAAGAAAGTATGAATATCGGTCTAGGGAACGCCAGCCTATCAGCGTCCGCCAGCGTCTCGAAGAACTAGGGAGGCCTAGGTATCAATCTATCGAACGCTACTGTACGCCGGCATTCGCTAGATGATACGTATACTTCCCTAGTTCATTGAAATGCTGCTGGACGCTGGTAGACGCTGGCATTTGCTACATTGATAGCTATATCGTCCTCATCGCTGGCGCAGGCAAGCGCTTGAAACGCTGGTGGACGCTGACGCAAAGTATGAATGCAGTCTGACACAGCGCATAAATATTAAATATAATGAGGGTGCAAAGATAGCCGCGGGGGGGGAGGGGGGCGAAGGGAAGTGCGGCAGCGCGTCTATTTCTGAGACTAACCCGGCTCAGCTCGTCGGGGGTTCAACATAGAAGCAGCGCCGCAATCTCCCTCCCCCCCCCCCCCTTCCAACTAGGGTGTGAAGAATTATTTCCCAGACGCGGCATCCCAATATGGGTTCACATGTTAAAGCGGCGCTGCGCGTCTACTGTCTTCCAGGGTCAACTCGTAGTCAGGAGACGGACAAAAGAATCTTAATTCGCCGCGCCGTCGTGCGGTGCGCCGTCTGGCAATGAGCGCGGGAAATTTCCAATGTGGGCGTCACGTGGCGAGGGGCACGGGGAAATTCGACTGCTCATCAGGTTCTCAACTGGAGCAGCGAAACCCGCGAAGATAGTTACGTATTCTTCCCCATATTTTCTCACAAATTCACGTTTTGCGGCCCTTTCCTACACCATCTATCACTGGCGTGGCTGTCGATTGGAGTCAGAAAAGCTCACGGCCGGCGCCCTGCAGTAACACCCTTTCCTGCTCAATATTCAAATCCGAATGGCGAAGCAGGAGAACTCGTCTCGCGCGGTGCGGCGTCGCTCGCGCTGTTTGCCAGCCACTATACTCTTGTCGTATAGCCGCACTCACACTGCGATGCTGCGAATGTGAAGTAACACTTCATCCCTCCCCGCCCCAACTACCTTTGCATCAAGATTGTAAACATTGAAAAATCCAACGTACCCATAAACTGCTTGTCCTTCAACAAAGCCTCGTCATAATCCTTCCTGCTCGAGAACTCAACACGAGCTTCACCCGACGGACGTCCACTTGCTTCGTGAATTATTTCAACATAAGTTGGACGGATTGGTTCAAAGAACTAAAAACATTTCACATTCGATAAAGGATAGAATTTTCGAGCTAATGCACACAGGTGGCCATTCGCGTAATACCTTCCTTGTCCACTTCACGTTCCCTTGTCACACAATCACCGAGAAACTACACGAAATGTTCCCGGTTGTTCTTTAATAGAAGAAATACTTCTGAACTATACCAAAACACCACATAGGACCAAAAACGCTTAATCGCATCTGGGACCCTTTTTGGACAGCTACCATGACGGCCACAAATTCGTCTTTTTTTTCCTCCCTCCATAACCCTTATAGTCATGACCTTTTCATTCCTTTTACAGTGACCGGCTAAGATAACCACTTAAGGAACTCCGAACCACCTAAGCAAATTTTCTAACATGCAGCAGAACGTTAGGGTCGTTTGTCACTACTTCGGTGCTAATCAAGTCGGAGGGAGCACTCGACATTGCCTTTGTGTCCCTTCTAACCCACGTTTACGCTAAGAGCCCAGTCGACCGAGTCACCACGAGACAGCATCGCCTAGGAGACAATCTCCACCAAGCCTAAACCTTGCTTGAACTGCGTTCAAACTCCAAAAGGTCGCACGTAGTCGCTACCGGTGCAATTTACACCAGGGCCATAAACAGGAACACAGCCATAGACCGATCGTAACCTGTCTACGGCAGCGTTACCGTCTATACCACAAGAGCGCGTCGACGCGCGTCATACCGAAGTCTTAAGACAGCCTTAGAGGTAGGAACACTGGATCCTTGCCGAGTACTCCTCCTCCCCTCCCTTCCTTTCCCACGAACTACGTTAGCGCCATGACTTCACCCGTGACCATGCGCACAACAATTCGACCACTGTGGCTAAAGAAACACTCTGCTACATGCCATAAAATTAGCTTTGCTGTACCGTTTTCCTGGTTAGATTTTGTGAGAAGTTTCCTTGACCTTGCATGACCATACCAGTGCCAGAAAGCCCGATTCATTAAACTAACCAAAGCTAATTAACCAAACCACCAACTCACGTCGTAAATGTCCGCCTCGATAGCGCGGAACGGTACCCCTCTCATCTTGAGCATGTACTTCTGTCCAGGTCGTTCGCGTCCACGTGGTGCAGCAGCCGGTCCGCGGGAATCATCGCGCCACTGATCGCGTACACGCATCGGTCCTCCCCCAGAGCTAGAGTAACCATAGTCTTGCCATGAATCACTGTATCCAACAGCGGGGACCGCCGGAGCAGCCGCTGCGCGGTCATCACGCCACGTGTCGGTCGCCGAGCGAGGAAAGCTGTCATACGGATCGGACCTGCGTCCATATAAGTCATCTGAACGTCTTGACCCACGCAAATAAGAATCATCTGCTGCGGGACGTCCATAAGGATCCGATGCAGGTACAGCTCGACCGTACGGGTCAGAAAGACCTCCCCTGCTGAAGCTATCTCCATACGAAGCAGCGCCAAGACGAGGGGGAGAAACCGGGCGTGCTGCTGTCCATGAACTATTGTAAGTTCCTGAATATGGATCTGCCGCCACAGGTGCAGCGCCAAATGCAGCACTGCGCCCATCATCCCATGGACCGACTGCCGCCCCGCGATCACCTGACCGACCGAAGAACCCGCCGCCGAATCCACCATAGTTGTCGTCAAAGCCGCCACGAGCCATACCACCGTAGCCTCCCCCGTTACCACGCGGCACGCGCAGACGGTGGTCATCACAGAACTGCACCATCTCGCCGTACGACGCCGAAAACACCTCGATGTATCTGAAAGCCAGCTTTAACCTCCATACAAATAGCAAATAGATTTTCACAACACATTTACACCATCCATAAAGTAATAGGATTCGAGCCTACACAGGAAGCGGATCCTAACCAACATTTGAACCCCACCACAGGTAACCAGGGATCAGAGCACGCAAGCGCCAAGATGGACCCTTGTGCCAACCACTTTAACCCAAAATGGTCCTTTCTCTGAACCTCCGAAACGTCAAGGATCATAAGTTGCCATCCACGCCGTTCTCACCGTGATAGAAATATCCACCCATATTTGTTCCAGAACACCCGTCCACCTTCCTTGTTACCCAGCAAAAAAAGAAGCCTACTGGTTAAAAGCAACAGAGGAGGTTAGCCGAAGAACTGAAGGGAAAGTTATTATCTATCCTAAGGCATACCTGTGCTGCATGTTCTTCATGTGACGCATTAATGCGCGATCAGCAGTCTCTTGATCTACGAAAACAACAAAGGCCTCGCCATTAGTTTTAGCTGCTATACGTTCATCCGGCAGAAGGATGCCTTCCTAAAATGTAGATGTAAAAGAAATTGTAGATACAAAAGAAAAAAAGCGACAGATGGCAACAGCCTTGGAACCAACTAAAAAGCTTCAGACTTTATGGTTCGCGATTGGATCGCTCCACTGGATCCTGGCACCATCGCCAAACGATGCACCGCCGCAACGGCACGAATTGGCACTGTGTTGACGTGGCCCAATTTGGATTCTGCCGCTGCGGTGACGCACCGCCTGGATGTGGAGCGTCCCCCGAGTGGTCGAGCGATCCGATCGCCCGATCGCGGAGTCTAAACGCGGTCGTATACAGCTAAAGTGATGCTTACCGGAACAATCTGCAAAGGCGCGAAGAAGTCGTAAATATCGCGCTCACGCGCTCCATATGGAAGCCCACGGAGGCGTACAACACCTTCTCCATTTCCACCATAAGCGCCCATACCACGCGAGCTACCGCGTCCGTAGCTACTATAGCCGCCACGATCACGGCGGTCACGATCGCGGTCCCTTCCCCTGAAAACTCCAACTTCACATATGTCAGGAATAAAAAGTAAGGCTGTGTTCATACTCTGCACCAGCGCTTTGAACGACTAAGAAAGCATAGGAACCGATCTAACATGCGGTAGCGTTTATGCCGCCAAGCAAATATGAAATTCGATCTAGCTTTTTAAGCGTAAGCCATCGTTTTCAGGGACTGTCCGCAAAAGTACTTCACGGCTAGTTTTCAGCATTACGAGGGCAGTCGCTCAGAACTTCAGTTCTTTGCTTTCCTAGTCGCCCAAAAAACGCTGCCACTGGCTGGCGTACGCTAGATCGATACCTATACTTTCCAAATCGCTTAAAACGTTGACGCAAAGTATGATCGCACTTAAGGACATACCTGTCACGGTCTCTACCGCTTGATCTCGGACCGTCATCATCAGCCGGCATCACTTCAACATATCTAAAAGGTTTGAGGTTGATGTCTGAAGAGCTTATGGATAAGAATGATGGGACACCTACGATAAAAGAACGGGCCAAATATATAAGAGCACTAACCTATGGCCCATATGTTCCCTATCCTTTTTCAATGCACGTTTGTAATCATCTTCATTGCTAAAGTGCACAAATGCATCACCAGAAGCCTTGCCATCTCGCATGATAAGATCCAGTTTGCTGATACCGGAATCTAAAACGAGATATTTTGAAGCGAACTCTAGCTCAAAATGCCACAATGTTCTCAATTAGGCTCATTTAGCATTTGCAACTACTATGTGAATTATCTTTCTCTTACAAACCGACGCCCTCCTTCTCAGATCTAACCAGGCTCAGCCCGTATCGATAATCTTGAATCAAGCGCTAGAAGGAGTGAAGGGAACAATGAAAGTCTTCACATCAGAGCATCTGCTGATGATGTGAAGTTTTCGTCATCCGTAGTAGTCTGCATTCGTGAAGAATGTACCGCTTTCGTCACTCGAAATGACGAGACAAAAAGAATAGAGATGCGTGATTATTGCAAACGATTACTTTCACTGTGCAGACAGCGGCCTGCTTACAAGCGAAATCGCGTGTGTACGCACCGTCGCCTGCAGCGTCGTGGGACGATTTCATACGCTCGTAGCGAGAATCCGTTGCACGTGGGATCCTTGATTGCGCTTGTCCTCATGATGAACTCGTCCAAGGTGCTCGCGCCGCTGCTGAGGGAGGGGGTCTCTTTTCAGGGTGTTCAAAGGAATTTTTTTTCGCTTCTTTCTTTACTGGAGAGTTACTTATTAGCTACTCGTTCATAATTGAGCATCTACTACCCGTAGCACTCGATTGCGACAATTGTCTTTAACACGTTGGCGACGGTGTCGGGCAATGGTGTCCTAATAATAAAGACGTGCGAGCAATCAAATTTGTTCAAAAGATATCTAT